TTGCTTAAGCTCAGAGTTGACGTTGCTGTCAGCTGTGACGCGATAGCACTCTACTGAGGGTGACAAAGTAAGACTCTGTCTCAAAAACACACACACACCCTGGGACTCTATGTACCTAATGAAATTCATACCATCTGCTAACAACAATAACTTACGTTCTCCTTCTTAAAAATAATCCCATTGGGCCAGGTGCGATGGCTCACACCTGTAATCCTAGCACACTAGGAGGCCAAGGCAGATGGATTGCCTAAGCTCATAGGTTTAACACCAGCCTGAACCAGAGGAAGACATCTCTAAAAACAGCTGGGCATTGTGGCTGGCGCCTGGAGCCCAGCTACTTGGGAGGCTGAGGCAAGAGGATCACTTAAGCCCAAAAGTTTGAGGTTGCTGTGAGCTATGATGCCACAGCAACAAGGTGAAACTGTCTCCCCCCACCCAAAAAAAAATTATGCCGTCTTAATTCCGGTGGTGAGTTTTACCCTTTCACCATTAAGGAAGGAGGTACTGATGTATGATTTAAATAAGTATCTTGGCCAGGCCCAGTGGTTCATATTTGTAATTCTAGCACTCTGCGAGAAGATGTGTTTCACATCTAAGATCCTGACAAACAAGACGCATTTCAAAATCTATAGTGTAACTTTTGATTAAAACTGGCAGGATTCTGTCGGGTGGCAGTACATGACTGCTATCCTAGCACTTTGGGAGGCTGAGGCAGGTGAATTGCTTGAGCTCAGGAGTTCAAGACCAGTCTGAGTGGCTCAGCACCCATGGCTCAGAGGTTATGGTGTCGCCACATACACTGGGGATTGTGGGTTTGAACCGGGCCAGGGCCTGCTAAACAATAACTACTACAACAACAACAAAAAAATAGCTGGGCATTGTGGTGGGCGCTACTTGGGAGGCTGAGGCAAGAGAATCACTTAAGCCCAAGAGTTTGAGGTTGCTGTGAGCTGTAATGCCACTGCACTCTACCCAGGGTGACAGCTTGAGACTCCATCTCAAATAAATAAATAAATAAATAAATAAAATAAAAACTAGCCCTGCATGGTGGCAGAGCCTGTACTCCCAGCTACTTGGGAGGCTGAGGCAGGAGGAGCACTTGAGTCCAAAAGTTTGAGGTTGTTGAACACTCTACCCAGGGTAACCCAGTGAAACTGTCTCAAAAAAAAAAGTGCATCCCTGGTCTACATTGGAGATTATGTCCTTAAGCTTTGAGGCTCAAGAACCCCGTGAGTCCCCTGCAAGTCACCTGGACCCCTGTATGTCACCTAATGTCTCTGAATCCCATTTTCTTTCTTTTTTTTTT